GAAGATCTATGTACGTATGAAATTTCAGCTTTCTATCTTAAAGGGTGTAGAAGTTTTGTAAACAAAAAAAGTGTCCACGGACGGACGGACGGACGGACGGACGGACGGACGGACGGACAGAATGAAACTAATAAGCACTTTTTTCAAAAAATTTTTTGGAAAAGTGCTAAAAAGAAAAATCTGTATTGCAAATTTTATTTTACAATTTTTTTTTTCGGGTCGAACAAAAACAGAAGCGTATGACATAACTTAATTAAGTTAGTAATTTGGACAATATAATAATATATGCGTATATAAAAATATAACAAAGAAAAAAACAAAAAAAAAATAAATTATTATATTTTATTGCAGATCGCGAACTGACTGACTGACTATAAAATGTCGTTCACCGTGTACAAATCTGCGTTCTGATAAAATAATGGAAATTTCAACAGTATGTCATCTTAAAGTTTTCTTTTTTTTTAATTGATTATAATCAAAGTATTACTTAATAGTTAATACAATTTATTTGTTTTTCATAATCAAACATACAAATATTATGTACATACATCAGTGTGGTGACAAAAGAAATTAATCGCACGTAATTGCAACTTATGTTATAAAGATAACGACAAATTGAATAAAGTACGAATCCAGCTGATCTCTCATTTTGCCAAAACACTCCAGTCAGAGAAGAATAAATTCAAATCCTTACATAAAATTAAGATGTAAAGGACTTTTGTAATATAAGCCATAAAAACCTACTTTAAATTTTAAATAAAATCTCCTGATTTCTGAAAGTTTTAACGAAATTTTTGCTTATTTAACGTATTAAATTAAAAATCGTATTAAATAATTGCATATATTTTTTGTTTAAATAACATTGAAAATATTTGTGTTAATTTAGCTTTACCGAAAAAACGAGACGAATTGTTCGTTTCAACTTTCCATATTTAAAAAAGGATGAAACTTATAACTTCTTCAAGTATTATACAGAAATAGTACCGAATAAAAACAACCAATCGCATACATTCAACAAATTTGAGCAATAAAATGTTTGATTTAGAAAAAATTAAGGAATTGAGAAAATTTCATCAATGTTTATTCTGTTCACTATTTCTTCTCAACTCCAATTTTGAATTCAAAAATTTTATTAGTACAATATTATGTGCAAAAAAAAAACAAAAGTTGCCATATATACTGTCGAACCAATTCCCCCTTTTCCAATTCTCCTATTCTTCTTTATATCTAATGCTTTTAAAACCAAAAAAATTTTTAAATATAACGAAAAGCTTTTCTTAAATTCATGTAAAACTCAATTTTAACATTGCAGTTGCCATATATTACACTTCTAAAAGCTTAAGTAAAATTATAAACTCAAGTTATAAATTTGAAATGTCATTTGTATACCTCTTTAAAATTTTAGTAATTCTGTACATTAGTAGAAAACTCGCTTAGAAGAAAACATTTGTGCTTCTATTGTAACTGTACTTACTTACACATCGCACATTGGGGAAAATAACGACACAACTCAAAAATCGTCGAAGGCTAAAAAACTTTGGTACAGAACTGTTATAGAAGTAAATTAACAAATTTTCTATATTATTTTGTTACAGAATTATGCTTTATAATAGTTATACGTATAATAGTAATAAAATCAAATTTTGTCTTATGTTCTCGCAAATATGCGATGTAAGCAAACGAAAATCGTTATGTTTTATTCTTGACATATGTATATTCAAAAAATACATTTTTTATATGCTCCAGACTAAAACATGTTATATGTATACTTCAACTATTGTTGAACGAATATATTTACCTTGAAGGCAAAACCTGATTAATTTAAAAAAAAAATTTAAGATTCTACCACAAGATCTTTTTTATGATTTTTTATGCTTTCTAATCAAATAACATTGAACTTTTAATATAATCATAATTCTAAAATTTACGGAAATTATGAAATAACAATTATTATAGCCCACTTTTTTAAAATAAAACATTATACGTATAAAAGATGAATTAGAACGTAAAAGTAAACCTAAAATGGTGATTCCCTCATTGAGATCTTAAAATAAATCTTTGTAATTTTTATTCTTGTGTACTAATTTAACGACAAAGTTATTTAATACTCATTGTATGAGACCAAGTGTTTACTACGTGTACTTTAAATTTGAAAAGAGAAAAAAATACATCCGTTCCAAATGACTTAATTTTCATTTGTTTCCTATTATTAACTTTAAACATTACAATTTAAATACTTGTATTATAAGAAGAAAATTAAGATTATAAAAAATAATGTTTTTAAATTAATTATAAAATAAATCTAGGTATATATTTTTTTATTTGTTTGTTTGATTAAAAAAAACACCATATAGAAATCACAAAGGTGCGACTAATTACGTCATGTTTAATGCGCAGCAGCAAAAGCAACATCATAAATACATATATGTATATACATGCCTGTACATACTTATATTATTTTTTAGTGTTTACTTAATAATTTAAAAATTTATTTAAATTTTATATTACAAAAATTAATGTAAAATATTTAACTACTCAAAATTTGTAAGTACATAATGAGAACTACAATTTTATTTTAAATATTGCGCTCTAGTATGTCTATTTTCTTCCATTTTTTTTTATATACTTTATATATTTACTTGTTTACTAAACTTTCTTTCAAGTGTAATGTTCAAATATTTGTACATGTTGCGGCATTGATTAGTACATTCATAATTTTGTTAGTGTAAAACGAAAAATAACTAAGTATAATATTGCTACTATTCATGTAACAATAATAAAGTTACAATGTTTAATGATCAAAATTCGATTTGATCTGCCATATTTGAGGGTATCTGTTTTTATTAAAACAAGTTATGAGCGAGATACGTGGATGATTCGTAAAGATGTAAATTGAAATAATAAAAATTTTTCCAAGTTTTCAATTATGTAATTATTATAGAAAATAGTTAATGATTGATGTAAAAATACATGTATCTAAAACGAAATGCCGCGATTTAAAATATATATAGAAATAAATTAAATAAAGATTACAAGTCGATGTAGCATTTAAATTCCTAGATGATAGTATTAATTTGAAATATAATTTAAACACGGTCGATATTATTCTGTTGAAGGCACTTAAAGGAGTTTGAGTGAATTTTATTCAAAAAATTTATTAGTTCATAAATAGAAAGCAAAACACATATGAGACGCTCAACGCATTAGTGGCCTACTTGCAAAAATGACATTTCGAGTACATTGCATAATGTTAAATATTTAAATTTTAAGAAAATTTTTTAAAAGCAAAAGCAAAGCTATGGTAAATTGGAGTAAAAAGAGGAGTAAACAAAGTATTTTGAAAATATAGAATAATTCTTTTGGCTACTATTTTGGCTCTATTATATAAGTTATTATGTTCACTTATTTTTACAAAAATGTTGGACAGGCCACTAATGCGCTGAGCGCTTCATATATGATCTTTTCTTCGGTAAAATTGTTATAACTCAATTTTATTCTTTATTTTTAAAGGCTTATGAATTTTTCATAGTGTATAGATTTCAGATAAGAAAAACTTTATCATAATACTATCCAATTTATATAATATATAACAATGCAAACGCTAAAATTTTCATTTAAATTTAATTACGTTTCATTTAACTTCAATTACTACCGTGTTATTAATGCATTATAGATCAAAATTGTATTACATAATGTGCGCAATAAAAATAATATTCATTCACAATTTATTCATTTTCTATGCAACTCTTAAAAACAAAAATTATGAAATTGTTTACCCTTTTTTTTACGAATGACTAACTGATTTGATAAACATAAAAAGTTCATTAAGTTAAAAATAAATAAAAAATTAAAAATATGAACATAAGGTGTAAACTTAACGCATTTCATTATTTTCACCGCTAGACTGTGGTTTATATAATAAATTCAATACACACAAAATAAGTATATATATATTTTCCAAAGGTTATCATAAAATTTTCCACACAAGTAAAATTAAAACTAAGTTTGAATGGTTACACCTAAATTTGTAAATTGTATAACAAAAATCATACAACAATATGCGTTATTTATTTGAATAACCCAAAAAATTTATAAGACGAACAAATGTTGATTCTTCTAACAATTAGAAATGATTTACACTTGCATGCTAGCATGCATTAACAAATATTTAAAGAAGCAAATGACCGACTTATTTTGGTGTTACAAAATTTTTTGAATAAAATTAAAATTTAAATAATTCGTTCATAAATATTAAAATTAAAATTTTAAATCATGTGACTATACAATAACCACATGATCGTAATAAATTTTTGAAAATGAAAAAAATTTTCATTTCATTAAATTTAATTGGATACTCTTAGATACCATTAGACCATTAAATTTTTATTTATGATGAAACAATATAAATTATGATCTCATTATTGCGATGACAGGAACATATTTTATAACATGAGAGCAAAATAGTTAATAAAAACATAAATTATAATTTTAATAAGAGATCACAAAATGAAATGATCAACTGTAATAATTTACGAATGTGTCTGCGAATGAGTAATGGTTAGTTTCCCACATTTAATTAACTGTATACGGATTTTATTAATATTAGAGGCTCTAAAACGATCTTATTTATTTTTGATTGTTTTATAAGGAATTCTCATTTTCCAATATATGGTACAAAACCTTAATAACTTAACTGAACTCCTTCATTTGCAAAACAGTGAATAAATTTAGGGTTTATTAGCGAGGTACTGAATACCACATCTTCACTGACTTTCTTCTAGTCCAGTAAACAATAAATAAGAAATACAGGATGAGGTCCCGATGATACATCAATAAGTTTTCATGTTACATGAACAACTTCTTATAGTGTAATTCATATTCGAACGCTTCAATTTATAGCTCGACAATGTGAGTAAAATATTATTAATGACCATATTTAAAACAAAATTCTTAATAATTTACTAAAGAAAAAAGTTATATAATAAAATTGTCAAACTTACCGAACGGCCACTCGAACGCATGTATCCTTTTCTTCATTTCCGCCATCGGAAGACATCTTAGAATCTTCTAATTTTCGTTTTTCTTTGCAAGGATACTTTAAAATTAAATTAATCCTTATTTAAACCGCATTTATTTAAAACTTGATTTTTATAATTTTCTTCTTCCATTAATATCATAAATTTCTATTTTCATAGAACAATTATTGTAAATTTCCAATATTTCTTTGAAGCTGTCATATATAATTTAATTATTATACATGAAATAAAATTTTTTGACAATTATAAAAAAATGCTTAAAAATCTCTAAAATAATTGACTTTTGTTCAACTTTTGTGTGTGATTTTTTATTAAATTCAATGTCTGAACAACAGAAAAGTTTTTCTTTTGAATTTTCGAATACTTTTCTTTATCTCAAATACAAAAATTAAATTTTTAAAATGCGAGAAATTTGTTACGTTTATTTTGTGTAACAAGTATCAATACATAGAATAGCTGAAAGTTTTGAAAGAATTCGCATACTAATTTCACGTCGAATTCTAAAACCACTATCAAACATTCACCAGCACAATGGTTTTAGAAGAACTTTAAAAACGGCAGCAAAGCAAAAAAATTACATTAGAATTCTTTGTTAACTTATCGTTTTTCTGCGTTTGTTCCTCTTAGTACGGGGATGTAAGTGAAAATTGATGGAAAACGTTTTTCTTTTTATTTTCTATTTTCTTTTCTGTAAAATTTTTTGTTTTTCTCTTTTTATTTGTTGCCTTCAAAATTTTCTTTTGTTCTTTTTGTTTTGTAGAAAAATTTTTAATTTTTTTTTCTAGTTCCTTTGATGCGCACTTGTACGTGTATTTTTTGAAGATTTTTAGACCGTAACTACACAACTTAATGACAATTTTTCCCTTTGGCGGAAAATCTTATATTTTTTTTTGTTAGTTAGTTTTTCAAATGAAATAGAAACGTTCAAAAAAATATTTTTGAAAGAAAAAAATTGTGTTTTTTTCTGACAAAATTTTATTTTTGGATTTCTAAATTAAAAAACAAAAATTTGTTTCCTCTCTTTTTCTGAGTTATTCTCTGGAGATTTGAATTCATTTTACATGATGAATGATGCACACGTACTCAAAATTTAGTTTGTTTTGTTTATTTGTTAAATCTTGATTTTTCTCTATTTTGCACCACCTGAAATGAAAAAAAAAAGAAATATTAGAGAAATTACAAAATATCAATAAAATATTAATTTTTCATAATTCTTATAAATAGAAAAAAAGTTGATAAATTTTATAGTTGAGAAGACAAAAATAGCAAACTAATTGTTGTAAAATGTTTTAAGTAAAAATAATTTGTGTGACGAATGACGATGTAGAAAAGAGTGTTACAGATTATGGATTGAGGATTTCAATAGATTGAATAAACGCCAGTTCAATAAGACTCAAGCACTGACATAGGATATCTTCTTATGAGTTCGGTAGCAATCATCGCAATTAAAATAAACATCTGTGCGCTTAATAAACTCGACACTATGTTTTTTTGAGAAAAGAAATCCTTCATATGGGAAGGATTTCTTTTCTCAAAAAAAACATGGTGTAACTTCCTGCAATTATTGATCAAAGCTGTAAATTAACGCAGAAGGTTCATAGTGATCTTTTCGGCTTTAGGTATCAACCCTTAGATATAATCGACCGTATAATCTTTAGGTATCAATCCAAGGTAGTCTAGTTCTAGTATTAGAGTATTGTTGGTTTGTATTTAAAAAATATACACCGATATATTCTTCTAAACTAAAATATACTCGACCTAAATCCTATATTGCATAATTTAGATATTCCCTTAAGCTCGTGTGTTGCATCTTAAATTTTGCATTATACTGCTCTTCAGAGAGTATCTGCTCTTAATACCTTTAATGTGTTATTACACTAATTACAGCGTAATTCAACAATTTGAAGCTAAATTTAATTGATTTTTAACTATCATTTTGTTATGAATGAGATTTAATGGGAATATTATTTGAATTTCCTAAAATTAAAGGTCAAAACTTTTCATATAATCCAATATTAATTAATATCATCGCATATTTTTAAAAATTTTCAATACTATAAACTTAAAAAAGAATTCGATGAAATTTTGTAAGATTATACAAAATATTTTATTTTACGGTGTTCTAAAATTTTGTTTTTTCAACAAAAATCACGTTTTTACCCAATTTAAATTTAAATTTTTGTTTGAAGTAGAAATATTATAGTATGTTTGCTATAAATAAAAAGTAATCGCACCTATTCTTCTTATTTTTAGTGTTTATTAACCTTTACAATTCTATGAATTAAGAATAACAATATTCTTAATATATTATTAGCCAGTAATCATCACCTTTTCCTCTTACAGCACCTTAACGAATTAATTAACGAATCAGTATATTTCTAAAAGAAAATATTATATTCTCCCTATAGATTTAGTGTTATATTTTATAAAATTAATGCAGCACAATTAATTCTTGTAAGATTTTTTCCTTACTCCATGCATTCGGTTCTTGTTAGACGCTTGCACATATATGGAGGAAGATATAATAATATAAAATATTCTAATAAAAATTTTATTTTAAACACATATTTCCTAAATAATAAAAACGTTTAAATATTAAAAGAAAATATTCGTCAACGTCATATCATCATTAATGTTGTTTTCTTCATTTATTGCCATAGTCGCGTCGCTTTTGTCGTCACTGTCATCTTTTTTTCACTCAGTTTCATCAAGTACATATGGGAAGAATGAAAAGAAATTTACCAGAATTTTGTTTTTATAATATTTTATGTACACGTCGAATAGAGACGAGACTATAATAATAACACTGTATGTAATTATGTGTTATGAACGATATAGACACAATATTTAAAAAAATTCATAGTGTACTTTTCCTGTTTAATATTTTTCTTAAGAATAACGTGATTTGTTTAGCAATTTAGTACAATAGAACTGCATTTGATTTTGTAATTACATACTTGCAGTTTTTCGATTAACAAATTTTGATCAATATTGGGTAAGTATATAAAATTTCTGATCTCCAATTATGATTGAATTCAAAAAGACTATCGTTTCAGATTTTTATTTAATTCAAATTTAAATTAAAACATTATAATTAAATTAATTTTAACCTTAATTTAAAATTATAACCTAGAAGTGCACAAATAAAGGTATTTCACGATCGAAAACAATTCAATTATAGTTTGTAGATAGTAACAAACACCTACACAATCGTGTATTTAAAGTGATATCTAAAATATTTAAATCTATGACATCATAAAGTGCGCGTCTTAATATAAAATTTTTGAATTAATTTCAAAAAAATTTTTATAATTTATTTAGAATCAAAATCATATTAAGTATATTGTTACTATGTTAAATTTTAAAATAAATTGTTTATAATTCACAAAATTCTACAATTAATTCCTGAATCCTTTTCTGATTGTTTAAAATAGCAATCATTATACGTCGTTGGCTTTCCAACATCCATAATAAAGTTTTTTGCTAGAATTAAGTTAAAAATGCATTATGTTAGTTTTTTATTCGTTTTATAGTACGAAGTTAACGTTGGAGAAATTAGCCTTTGTAATCTTGGAGACAATTATTCTCAAGCATAAACTCCCAAATTTACTTTTACAGCCTCATTTCTTGACACTATAAGGTATCTAATACGATTAAAATTTATCAATGCCTTAAAAAAATTCTTCTAATTTAAAATAATCATAATCAAGTGTTGATTAGCCCAAGTTCTAAATACTACAAATAAACTATGACGATGTAGAAAAAAAAAATGTAAAAAAGTCATTTGAAATTTTAATGGCAGGCAAAATAATAGCAGAAAAACTTTATTTTCTATGTACAGGAAAAATAAAATTTGCAATTTTTGATACAGTAAGTCAAAGTTCTTACTACAAAATATTATTCACTGAATAGCTTCAACTAATGATTTACAATAATATCATGTCACATTATTATGTTATGAACAATCAATTAAGTCGAAAATAATTTAATAACTTGTTACATTTATAAAGGCAACGCTTAAGCATTTAGACCTTTTCCCGAAAACAACATTTAAATCCAAATTGAATATTCTTTTATAAAGTGTTTTAATCTCTTCTTGTGGAAACATTTCTTACAATGAATAATATTTATTGAAGGAACCCTCTTCAACTTATTCATAGACGCAATTTACCATACTTAATTATTAATTCACTTAGCAAACAAAAAAATTTTTACTATGCAATCCCAATTTTTTCATATTAATTGAAAAAAAAAAATAAAAAATTTCATTTTACTCTTTTCTACGAAATTCGTGCATAAGATTTTAGCAGTCTGATTAGTTGTATATTTTTAGTGACCTTCTAATATTCCGTTTCAATTTGATTACAAATAGAATATGATACCTTGGACTTATGTATATACCTATATATGTATTTACATATGAACTACGTATAATAGATGTATGAACGGATTGTATAGCAAGGTAAAGTACACACAATACTTTATTGAATATAATAAGGGGAGACACTTAGATAGTTTGTGATGGCGGAACATTATACATTTCGCTAACATTTTCCTGTTGTGTTGTAATTATTCTGTTCTTTCATTTTTGTTTTTTCTTTGCTTTTTTGTTACACTCGTTATTATTCCATTAAACTGTGCGAACGTTGATTTTTTTTAGTTATCTTGCTTTTGAAAGGAAATATGACGATGGATAGATTCAAAAATTGAGGAAAAAAAAACTTGTAGTCTTTTTGTTTGTCGTCATTTTAAAGCAAATTTTATTTGATTTTTTTTTATCTATTTCTATTTCGGTAAAACCTGATGGAAACTAAAGAACAAACAAAAAAAAACTAATCAAAATTTTTGTTTTCTTTATAACTTTTTTTCACGTACAACTCAAATTGACGTCGAAGAATTGTTGTGGTATGGTGTTTAGGCCATACACAAAATGAAAAATAAGACTAACAAAAAAAATTTCACAGTGTAACTTGTAAAATAATTGAAAGGTATTTTTTTTGTATACAATTTCGGCATAAAAACTGAAATCGAGAGTATCTACCCAAAAAAAAAAAAATTATTTCGTTTTTTTAATTTTCAATCGAAAGTATACAAAAAAAAAGTGATTACAAGTCTAAAATAATTAGAATGGCATTGCAGCCAAAGCTATTGTTGTAGTAATGATGAGGAAATTTTTGTGAAAATGAAAACGAAAATCTAAATTAAGCTAAGAGAGAAAAAAAAGTAAAATTAGTTTTTTTTTTCTATTGAATTTTGAAATATTCGAAATTAAGTAATTCATAAAAATTCAAATGAGAAAAACGTGAGTTATCAAAGAATACAATTTTGTAACACATTTTATCTGGCATTCATTTCGCACCCTTAAAGTAATAGTGAATTTCGGTTTTAACAAGAAACTTTTAAGCATTTTGAAAATACACACATTTGATTTTTATGTACCGTTCGTCGTTCATAAAAAATTTAAGATGAAAACACAAAATTAAGTTGATAAATTTAATTCTCGATATTGAATATGAAAACAATCTTTGATATTTACATAGGGGCCTATATTGTTTAAGTAAATAAAATTAATTCTAAATTTTCTGAAATTTTACAGAATGTCAGCAGCTATTCGAAAATTCACTCATGAATCAAATAAATATTGCTCAGCGTTTTGCACCTTCAATTTTAAAAACTAAATTTTTGAAAAACCCCTCAATATAAGGACCAAACTCAAAAACTGTACGTTTACATGTTATCATTTTATTACTCTGAGGGTGCCATCATAAATCTTGTTAAAAATTTAAATTTCAGCAAAGATTTCCATAAGTAATAAAAGTACCAATTTTTATAACTTTAAAAAATTAAGTTGTATGTCGTTGATAAAAAGATTGCGGGAAAAAAATCTATTGCATAATTTTAATTTTAATTTTTTGCCTTTCTTTTTATTTTAATATTAAAATTATAAAATATCAAACCAAATCAACGATTTAAAAAAAAACTCATATAAAGTTTGAAGTAGACAAATTGAGAACAAACCCATAATATTATCACTGAGTACTGAGAACCTAAGAAAAGTACTCTATGAATTGTCTTAAAACTCTTATATTTTTAACTACATTTAAACATTTAAAATTCAACACATTGGAGCTAAGAAACTCTTA